TGAAGTTACCTGGTCTTCCCCTGACCCTTTTTGTCCGCGGCTGTCCCGTCGGGTCGGGCGTTTCTTCCCTAGTGATCCCCGGCTCTGCAGCCGCTGTTTGCAGCCTCGCTAACACACGCGGATTAACAGAAATAATAATTTCTGCCATGCATTAATGCCTGTTGGACACTGTTCTACCCTTTGCTCATAAAGGCCTGCCTTTAAAATTTAATTAACCCATTTGCCATGCCGTGGCTAACTCTGTTTTAAGTATTTTTTTTAAGGATTGATCAAGTCGTGTTTTTAAATCGTGGAAATGCTCTTAGACAACAAGTATTCTTGCTGTTAGCGTGTGTGTATGTCTGACCTAGCAACGTTTTTGCTCTTTAAGGATCAAATGCGGTGGTGCTGCCGACCAGCGCTGATGGAGTTTTCCGGCGCAGGGGAGCAGCATTTGCAGCGCCTCCGAGAGCTGCTCCGCCCGGGGGCCTCAGGAGAGCGCGGTGTGCGCCCTGCTTTCGCGTCGGGCAAGAGAGGCTGCCCCTGTTTGTACACCTTTATTTTGAAATATAACCAAGAAGATTCGCGGCGTTCGCGTTGCGTGTTTCCTGTGCTTTCAGCGTCCTCTCTTAAAATTCATCTTTGCAGGAGCACATCGTATCCCAGGTGGAGAAATTGCTGCCTACGGCTAGTGCTGCAGAGGACTGCAGCTCGCTAGTAGCTGGGAACAACAGAAATCCCTGCACATACAAAAGACTCAGGTGACAGCCTCTTTGTGGGAAAGGTAGCGGTCTAAATAGAGAATATGGGTGGCAAGAATGTGCAAGTGAAGCAATGTGGGTTTTTTTTCTTTTTTTCCTTTTTGCGAGTGTTGTAGTAGGTCTGTGTCTTGAGTGGAGGTGTGGAGGGAATGATACTTCTTGAGAGAGCCGAGGTAGAGAGAGGCAGGGGAATAGGCACGCCTGATAGGTGTGGGATGTCCCAGACCTGCAGCTCACGCTCCTGACCAATGGCCTGTGCGTGCACAGCAAGTTACATACTGTAGGCACTGTGTTTGTTACTCTTGCACAGACCATGAATGCCATACGTGAGTGGCAAGGTGGCTTTGCCCATGCACGGTGGGCATGGCAGGGTTTTATGGACTTTGGCAGATGGGTCTGAATTGGCACTTCAACTAAACAACCAAATGTCTGGAAATTCCAGTCCAAGGTCTAGTTTGAGATTCAACATGGCCAAGTGCCGGGTCCTGCACTTCGGCCACAACCACCCCATGCAGCGCTACAGGCTTGGGGAAGAGTGGCTGGAAAGCTGCCTGGCGGAAAAGGACCTGGGGGTGTTGGTCGACAGCCGGCTGAACATGAGCCGGCAGCGTGCCCAGGCGGCCAAGAAG